TATTAAAATTATTATCATTTTGATAATTAAAAATAATTAAAATCAATATTAATTGTTTAAATTAAATTTAATTATATAAAAAACTTATTTATTTGGGAAAAAGAGGGCCAAATGTTGAAATGGAAATAAAACTTAGCTTCAATCAATTAGAAAAAAAAATCTTACCGCATAATATGATCATACCAATTCAAGAAACCCGAAACAAAATCTCAAACATAAGTGCAACAAAACAATCCTAGAAAAGCACATCAAGTTTTGTGTAGAAAAAATTCAAGAATAGGAAAAAATCATAAAGCCACACCATCAAAAATTTTTATTATGAAGAATCAGAATTGTACAGAGAAACACAATCAAATTAAGTTTATATAAGCACAAAAACTTACAGAACATTTCTCCAAACCTTCCACTTGATCTCATATGAGAAAATCCTCACTTCGAAATCAACCTCCTGACATTCCTCCATCACAAAGCAGTCTTTATCAAGAAACACTGCATATAGGAGAACAAACCATGTTGTTAAGTCCTTCATCAGTAGTTAAGTCCTTCATCACTCGAATCAAAGATTTAAGAACTGAAATAGGAGAACAAACCATGTTGGCATAACCACGTTGACACCTGGCGTTATTATTTCGCACATTATGTGTGGAATTGAAGGAATCGAAGTAGCCCGACGTGCTACACCGATCCCTAAATGGTTACACCAGCCTGGTAACTTATGGATCAGTCATACTCCATTTCTCAAGAATTTCTCACTTGGAGACTGATTTCACGCAACACATGTCCTCCAGATCTATGTCTCTATCTACACCATATTCATAGTCAAGTACCATAGTGCGGCTCACCCTCGGTCTCACCCTTTCTAGATTCCAACTAGTGTATGCAATGTAGATTGTCCATGTACATGTTGATCACTCCCGCTATAATATACAATGTCTGATCTCGTACATCTAGTTGAACCTAAATTCTTCATCTCAAAATCACTTAATAATTTCTCCTTTAGGTCCCTGATTATCTCTATATATGCCCCTGCAATCATCATGTCATCCACTTACAAAAGGAGTAGTATATAATAATTATTAAGGTTTTTTATGAAGCAACAATAGTCTCTACCTAGTACTTCATACACCCACTATCAGATATGAACATGTCAAATATTTTGTACCACTATATCGGGGCCTACTTCAAGCCATAAAGGCACTTTTTCAACCTGCATACCAAATTTTCTTTTCCTAGAACCTCATAACCCTACAGCTGCACCTTGTACAATTCATGCTTTGTATCTTCATATAAGAAAGCTATTGTTACATACACCTTCTTCATATGTAAATTTTTTGCTACTATTAAACTAATCGCAACTCTAACGATTGTCATCCTCACCACAGGAGAAAAAGTTTCAGTGTACTCCACTTTTTCATTTCATTAAAACCCCTTCAAAACAAGTCTTGTTTTATAGTGTTTGCTACCATCTGACTGCTCTTTTAGCATATAACGTACTTGATGTGTAATGCTCTTTTGTCATTGGGTAATACTGTCAAATCTTATGTATAATTTGAATCAAAAGACTGCATTCATCATCTATCAAAGCTCTCACTCTTTTGAATCTTCAACTTGAGAGACATTCTCATAGCACTCTAGCTCATTATTATTGTTAGCAACAAATAGTACAAAGAAGCAAATAACTTTTTGTCGGTTGACAAGCTTTGTTAGACCTCCTGACTTCAGCAGCATGTGATTGAGTAACTTCTTCTTTTGCATCTGATCGAGCACATATTTCTCCTCTATCCTGATCACCAATATCTTCTATCTCAACATGCATGGATTTATTTAATCAGAACATCAAAGAGGCTGAATAAGTAAGGTGGTCCAATCATAAGATTCTTTTGAAAAGGAAATTAAAATTTACTTAGGGTCTGTTTGGGCAGCTACAGCTTATCAAAAAGCAATTGCGATGCAGCTGTGTCAGGAAGCTACTACAGAGAAGCTGTTGTGAGGAAGATGTTTATATGTTTGTGTTGTGCGATTGTACGACAATTGTGTTGTTTTTGCTTATGATAAAAAGGCATTTCTACATATGTACTATTATGTTGTTTATAATAGAATTGGTCCTAGTTGCACATTTCATGCACGGAGACAAATATCTAATTTGAATATTACATAATAAAACAGACACCTCACTAAATAGTGAGTAAGACAACAATCTAAATTAAAAAATAAAATTATTAAAATAACAATTAATATTATCATAATCTTAAATTTAAAAGGCAGGCGATTAATTTCACGAGATAATCTCTACTCCAATAAAATTTTCCACGTTTAATCACTATCTGAGGTAGAATCATCCAACTGATTTGCCCACTCGAAGAAGACACACTTCTCTGATTTATTCCTTGGATGCCTGTAAAATTTCCTCCCAGAGCTAGGCTCCTATCGCGAACTAAGCATAGAACCCTGGAGTCCATAGTAACAATGCAACACTCTAGAGGCACCAGAAAACCTTGAGCTCATCTTTTTTTAAGTTTTAAAACCACAAAACACAGACCCTTAGATGTAACATTAATAATAATAATAACAATAATAATTGAAATAAATAAATAAAAGCTTTATAAATATGTGAGGTCTTAGAGTACAAAGTATAACCAAATTGAGCAAAGACACCCATAACCCGAAATCGTAGTGAGCAAAAAGACCCCAAAATCCACTTTTGCGGCCATAGATCGAAAAGAGTAAAGAGACCCAAAAATAAATTTCTCTAAATTTCACAGAATAAAGGAATAAGGATCTTCCAAATCCTTTTCTTCCAACTACAAACCTCATATAGCAAAGAGAGCACATACTGATTTCTCCAAAGTTCACAAAAAAAATCGAATCTTCCATAAATTCTCCAGAAAATTCCAACAAAATATGAATCTCGTTCTTCCAACCACAATCAAAAAACAACAAAAAGATTAGAAACCATGTTCCCCAAAAACACAAATAGTAAATTAAATAGGGAAGTTTCAAATCCCTTTATTCCAACAACATACCACAAAGAGCAAAGAGGTCACAAACCACAAACAAGAAAAAAGTGATAAAGCACAAATTACAAATTGAGAAGAGCAAAGAGACCACAT